ATGTTATTAGTGTGTGTGTGTGTGTGTGTGTGTGTGTGTGTGTGTGTGTGTGTGTGTGTGTGTGTGTGTGTGTGTGTGTGTGTGTGTGTGTGTGTGTGTGGTCAAGTACATGTAATCTGCATACCCCCCTCTACAAACGATATGATGGATCAGCCTAACGTTATGTCTCCTGTTGTTTATTAAGAAGTAGAATGTCATGAAACTCATCTGTTGATGTCATTGTGCTGCTGAATGCCAATACACACAACACTTTGTTTTGCATGTGTGTGTGTCCGATGTTTTTTTTGTACACAGCCGTCATCGTGCAGTTCATGTTTGTGCAGCTTCCTTGTTTTGCCCTGCAAGACATTATCGCCTCATCGTTGTTCAGCCAGGATTCTCTGTGCCCTCCCTCCTGTTTTTTTCTAACCTGTGTCTTATCCTGCGGGGTATGTGTGATGGTGTGTGTGTGTGTGTGTAGCCGGGCCAGGAGGAGACGGAGGAGAGTTTGGTACGCCGGTCTGACTTCATTCTCCTCTCTTTACCAATCGTAGCTTCCTTTTTTCTGTCACCATCCCCCCTCAGCCGGTCCACACCCGCCTCCTCACTGCAGGAGAACCAATCAAAACGCTTTGATGCAAACTCAATATGTGACCAACAACTGATCATTAAGGTCCTATAACTTCTCAACTGTCTCCCATTTAATCAAAATAAGGTGTAAGTTAATGGTGTCCAATCAACTTAGAGTTGTTTTTAATAACTGTGTCCTTCCCGTTTAGCCTTTGTTAGCATTAGATATACATTATCAGTAATACATGGTTTTAGTAAATGGTGTCGAACGTACACCCATGTTTCAAGGTCTTTAAGAGTCTTGTTATCGGACCATACCTTGAGATATTGACTTTATTTGAAACTATAAAACAGAGAAAATAAATCTATAAAAATCACCAAATTTGAGAAGCAGAAAACAGCAATTTCAGATTTTTTAAAATTATAATTTAAAAGTACTTTAACAATTAACTGAATATCTAAATAGTGGATTTTTCCTGTTGAATTCATTTGACAGACAGTTGCTGCTTTTAATAGACCAAATGTAATAGAAGCTTTTGCAGCTATGTAAATAGGAAATAAAGACATTTCTTGTTAGCATTTGCGTTAACATTCCCACTTATTATTAAAGCCAAACGATGAATAACAACACAGCTAATAATCAGATGTTGGATCACAGGATTGAGTTGCTCGCCTCTGCTGCTGCTACTGCTCCTGCTGCTGCTGCTGCTGTAGAGAGCATGAAATACAGCTGCACTGTCCTCCCTCTCCCAGCTGCACACAGCCACCCTGACTGGGAACAATGGTGAAGCACCTGGCAAGATACAGATTAGAACTACACCTCTGGTTTTTACTGCTGCTCAAAATAGTCCAGGAGAAGTCATTTCATGTCAAGGTCTGGGATATTCCATTATCTTAAAACCCAGATTTTATGTGGCCACTACTTGTGCAAAACGAGGGCTTATAAAGCATTCCCTGAAATCTTATTCTTACACATTCTAGGGTGAAATAACATGTTTATCAGAAATCCTGTGCACAAGGTATACTGTGACCGGGTGTCATGTGATCGTGCTTCAATGTTGTGCTGCCATGCTGTATTATTGTGCTTATATCCTATTGATTTACATTCAAATGATTCCCCTTTCCTCTCAGGTTTTTAATCCAAACCACCGGAGTCGATATTGATTGGTTTTGTCTGGAGCAGAGTGAACTTCAGGTCAATTTGCTTAATGGTAGTTATTAGACGCAGAGTAGTGATACCAGATATCCAGGATTACATCCATGTAATAAGCAGTATCTGTGCTTTTACACAAAGACACTTTCCAACCTTTCCTAGAAGTTCATTTTCCTCCAGGACACGCTTCACGGCCCGAAATGAATAATCCGTACAGTTTCCCTCTGATCAATCTGCTTTCCACCCGCGCTTACATTACACTGCCGTGGAAAATCTCCAGCGCATGACACCTGCCGTGTGGCATAACGACTCGTGGATCAGCTGGAATGGCTTGTGTGTTTAATTTGTGATGTACCTGCTAAGCTTCTGGGATCCCCCGTCACTCTGTGGCTACCTCACGCTGCTCACCTGTGATTACACCTCACTCTCAACCCCTGATTAAAAAAAAAGAATATGAAGAAGAAGCACCCGATGTTCTCTGGGTTTCTCACCTCCCCTTTTTAAACCCTTCTTTTCTCTCCCTCTCTCTCGACCCGTAGAGAACGATCACATTAGGTGCTGGCGACCGGCAAGTCATCCAGACTCCCATCGATGACGCACTTCCTGTCAGCGGCAGCACCGTGGCGCAGCTCTTCAGACAGCTCGGTATGGTTATGAGAAATTAGGAAATAATGCTACACCTGCCGCTCTTTCAAATAGTCTTTACCGTAATTTTCGGACTATAAGGCGCACCTGAATATAAGCCGCAGCAGCGGCATACCACTCTCGGTTCCACTTTTACTTTTGCGCGCTACCTGTCTCACTCTTTTCCGGCCTCCAGCTTTTCCTGCTGGAACCCGCCGCTTAAAGGTGGGGGTCCGCGGACCGGCCATAGAGCCCATAGAGTTAAAGGTGTTGGCCGTTAGCTGTAAAAATCCATAGATTAGCCGCACCGTTATATAAACCGCAGCGTCGAAAAATAGGGAAAAAGGCGCCGTTTATAGTCCGAAAATTACGGTAATTCAGATTAAGGTGTTAAATCTAACTCATGTATTTGCTAAATGTTGATTAAGATACATGCGGTAATTCAGCTGGAAGTTTCTACACATCAGATTTTGTAATGATCGAAGGGTCTATAACTGTTAAAATATTTCCTTTCATTTACTGGACTTTTGGTTCATTTCCCATCCTTTACTATTAAAAAAACCCACAACAAAAACTTTTAATTATTATTCTTTATTGTCCAATTAGATTTCTAGAGCTTGCCATATTAGTAATAAAAGTAAACCACCAACAAAACCTCGTAATGTCCTACCTGCATATTGACCTAGAAAACATTGGGAAATTGTCAATTAAAGATAATTTTATGCCACTGATAATAATGCCAATAAACCTTTTCAAAGCGCAATTTACTTAATAATTAATAATTAACAAAAAACATTGAAATATCCTTGATGAATAAAACATAAATAAAATAGAAACACATAATAAATAATGTCACTGTTTTGCTTTGTAAACAGTGAGTCTTCCAATGGTAGGAATCCATTTACTGTTTACACTGGCATCATGTTGGGGACATTCTTAAATCCACAAATATTGTTTATAAGAATATTGTTTTTATTGAGGACAGTAAAAGTGATGGACGTAGGAAACCGTATTAATGTGATAATAATAACCGTTTCATTTATCATGCGCTTCATCAGGTGCTTAAAGGCACTTAACAGAGGTAAAAAAAACAAGATAAGTCCATTTAAAATCAATCAATAAAACAACATTTAGGGACACAACATCAATCAGAGTTTAGAATGGAATCCTTTATTGTTATTATACAGGTGCAATGAGATGAGTAGAGCTTATCCTTTTATTTTTAAGGTGCCATCAAAATATATCAAAAAACAAACGAGACGTACGTTTAAAAGCCAGTCTGAGAAGGAGAGTTTTGCTCAGTGTGTGAATGTATTTGTTTTGTCCTTCCCTCCCTTTAACCCCTCTCCTGTTCCCTCTCCTGTTCCCTCTCCTGTCCCTCTCCTGTCCCTCTCCTGTCCCCTCTCCTCTCTCCTGTTCCCTCTCCTGTTCCCTCTCCTGTCCCCTCTCCTCTCTCCTGTTCCCTCTCCTGTCCCCTCTCCTGTCCCCTCTCCTGTCCCCTCTCCTGTTCCCTTCAGGCATCGTGAACGTTTTGTATCTGTTCTGCGCCGCGCTGACGGAGCATAAGATCCTGTTTCTGTC